CAGGATGAATCTGAGACAGAAAATAATTCACTAACCCTAATGATGTAGTTCTCCAACTGATGTGGCCAACAGATAAAGTATCAAGGTATTAGCTAAGATGCCAAGGCAACGCCAGCCAATAAAATGATGTCATGCAATCAGTGGCAGAGTTTGGTCAATGCAAACTGACTGCTTTGTCTTTTAATCCTACTGCATGCAATAAAAAAAGATCAGGAAGGACTGTATTTAAAATCAGAGGAAATGTACTGAGTCCACTAGAAGAGCTTGTTGCATTTTTTTTTCTCAGAGCTAGATCTCAAATTAGGTGATTGCTGCACCAGTACTGAGCTGCTTGAGCTCCTTCTCCCCTTCCCAATGTGGGGTTAACCTCTGAAATGGCAGCAGAGCTCCCTGGAGTAAATGAAGCTGTGGTGGAGAGATCTTACAGTTTGCTTGTATTTCCACAATGGAAACATTACACTAGCATTGGGAGCAAAGCTGAAGCATAAAGAAGATGCTAACTCCATCACTGAATATGCAGCAGAACAGGTTGACATAATGAAATGCAGCCTGCTCCAGCCCAAGGAGGGGCCTGTAAGTCTGGCTGGCTGGAGGAGCTAGGATGGTGGTCCTGGTTTTTTCCTCTTTTGAGGCCAGTTAGCCTGTTAGAGCTTGCCTTTGGCCAGAGAAAACACTGTAGCTGTTCTTCTTGGAGAATTAGGGAGGGTGGAAGGAGGAAGCTACCCAACCCTGTGGTCTCTGCTTGGGGGTGATGGTTGACCATGGCATACTCTGGCTGCAACCCTGCAGCCAGTGGCCTCGTGGTGATCTGGTCTTGCATTAAGCAGACTTAAATCATCAGCCGACCAACCCTGGCCACCAAAACCTGTGTTTTTATCAGTTCAGTGTGTTGAATGAGGTTGGTTCCAGTAAGATGAGTGCCAGAGCCACCTGCGAAAGGGAATCATCCCAGAGGTTCAGAGGTTGAAAATGTCCCCTTTCAGCAATGGGTTTCAGGTCACATCATGAAAACATACCCTAAACTGACCCTTCCTTATTTGTGTTTGGAGTGTTTCTGGTACTGAAGCCAGTGTAATTTTTTTTTTCCTACACAGCCACATTTGAAGGTTACCTCCTGGAATCAGATTAATCACCAATTCTAATGAGCCCTGCTGACTTGTCCCAGCTAAAATTTTGTTCTTCAAAATGTAGCATCTATTAAATAAGTTTTAATGCTTAAAGGCTCTTGGCCAACAAACAGTTGAACTCCAGGTTTGTTTCCAGAGATGATAAGTTGTTTCATCTCCTTGGGTATTAATAAAGGGCCTAATAACAGGACCATCCTCCACTTCTGAGGTTAAGATATCAAAAGGGTTTATGGAGTCCCTAAGTCCAAATACTGTTTTTAGAGTGCCTTGAATTAGTGGAAATATGGCGAGATATTCAGGGTTTCTAACTGTCATCTTAGGAAGACTTATGGTGTGAATCCAAAGTGGTTCAAGTTGATCCAAACTGGTCCTGTCTTAAAACTGCCCCATAGTTTTAGCCTCTACCTTGTGCCAGTGTTGGCACTGGGGCCAGGGAAGCCCCTCCTGGCTCAAGGTGCTGAAACAGGAGAAGACAAAGCAGATTAAAAAATAGCATTATTCTGCTG